AGATCCTAGTTACCGAGCCCCGACGAATCAGTGCCATCTCACTCGCGGACAGAGTGTCGAAGGAACTTGGAGATACAGGGGTAGGGGGTTCCGACGGTCAGGGTAGTTTGGTGGGGTATTCGATAAGGCTGGAGAATAAGATCGGGAAGAACACGGTAGGCTGTTTTCCCACCTGCTTGCAGTAGCGTTCGTTGGCGTGTGAGTGCTTATGGATTTGCATGATAGCGCCTGGCGTTTGTCACCAATGGTATCGCGTTGAGAATGTTGGAGAACAGTGCTGGGTCCGAGGGACAAGCCGGGTCTTTTGACGAGGTGACAGTGAGTACTGATATAATCGCCTTTTCGCAACATCGCCTTGACAAATATTCTTATACACCCAGCACATCGTCGTAGATGAAGTCCATGAGCGGTCGATCGATTGTGAGTCTTTTGCTCCGAGGTTTGCTGTACTATGCTAACTGTCGCCTTTGCTATACTTCAGCCGACTTTATAATGATCGTGCTTAAATCGCTTATGCAGGAACGAAAGGACTTGAAGTACGTCCTGCGCCCCATTTGAAGCTTCAGCGACTTGCTCAATATATGCGTTATAGGATTATCCTGATGTCAGCGACCATGAACAGCGAAAAGATCTGCGCGTACTTTGATAATTGTCCCTTCTTCAAGGTTCCGGGGCGGACTTTTCCTGTACAAGTCAATTACTTGGAGGATGCCGTTGAACTTACACAATACTTTATTGCCGAAAGTTCACCTTACGCGGTTCGCCGTAAGTGTAATCTTTGCCGAGCTCCGAGTCTTGATCCTGATCTCAGCCCGGCTTCGCGATGGTTAGATGGACGAAACAGAAAGCAAATCGAGTGGAGCGAAGAAACGGCCAACAACGACGAGGATGATGACGGTGACTTGGACCAACCTTCGGATCCGATGAAACTCTCCTCATCCGCTTACAGCCAAGAGACTGTACGGACAGTAAACTTGTTGGATCCCAAACAGATACCCTATGGCTTGATCATGAGACTACTGGAACACCTTTGCTTGGAAACAAACTCACAGTACTCGCAGGCGATACTTATATTCCTTCCTGGTATCAACGAAATCCGCAAACTTCACGACCTACTGGTAGATCACAACCAACTAGGAAACGCTCGTGACTACAAAATCTACCCCTTGCATTCAACTATCTCATCGGAGAATCAAGGTGCCGTGTTCGAGATCCCCCCAGAGGGTATGCGCAAAATCGTGCTTTCCACCAACATCGCGGAAACCGGTGTGACCATTCCGGATATCACATGCGTCATCGATAGTGGCAAACATCGAGAGATGAGGTGAATACTTCTACTTCGCATCTGGTGGAATTGGTTTGCTAAATATTCTGAGATTCAGATATGACGAGAAAAGATCCATCTCACGATTGACGGAAACCTACATAGCGCGGTCAAACGCTGCACAGCGGAGGGGAAGAGCTGGGCGAGTCCAGGAAGGTCTTGCGTTTCACCTCTTTACCCGCGCAAGGCACGATACCCAGGTCAGTTTCCCGCTGAGCTGTCAGAGTCTTTTCCACTGTTCACTATTGAGACTAAACGTATCTATTCATTTTCTACAGCTTGATGACCATCCGGAACCTGAAATTCTCCGGCTGTCGCTCCAAGACCTTGCCCTGCGGATCAAGATTCTAAAGGTCAAAGTTGGTACGAGTATCGCAGGTGGTTTATCGAAAGCCTTGGATCCTCCATCGCCGATCAATGTGGCACGAGCTGTCTCTTCGCTCGTGGAGGTAAAGGCTCTGACCACCGCTGAAGAAATCACCCCTATGGGCTTATTGCTCAGTCGGCTGCCAGTGGACGTTCATTTAGGTACTCCGCTTCACTTCTCAAGAAACCTTAATCCCTATACTAAAGCGTTTACTCTTCCAGGCAAATTCCTACTGCTCGCAGCACTATTCAAATGTCTGGATCCTGCACTTACCATTGCTGCCACTTTGAACTCGAAATCACCTTTCGTTGCACCATTTGGCCGAGAACAGGAAGCCGATACCATCAAGCAGTCATTCAAAAAAGGTCGGTGCTGATGATGTAAGGCCTCGTGATCCGTCCGCTCACTTCCCATCGTGCTCATTAGGCAACAGCGATTTTTTAACGATCGCAAACGTTTTCGCAATCTGGCGTAGAATGAGCGACAACCCGAATGCAGCAAGGGTCTTTTGTCGGAGGAACTTCCTTTCGCAGCAGGTACGGGCATTGACGGAAGCTGACGCTTAGCTATATACTCACGGGGATCCGTCTTTCTTACTGCAGACTTTACAGCAAATCGAAGAACTGCGACAACAGTTGTATTCTTACCTGGTGGACACGAACTTTGTGCGAATCACGCCTGCAGAAAAAGAAGCGATAGCAAGGTAAGTCGTAACATTGGACCTTTGTGTCACCGTATATGCGATCTAATCTGCCTTTGATCATAGAGCACGGTATCGAAAAGGATTCCGCACATCATTCGTCACGATTCCCAACGAATTGAATGAGAACGCAGAGGACGAGAACATGCTCAACGCGGCCTTGGTGGCTGGTTTATACCCGAAGATCTTGATAGTGGAGGGAGGCAATGGATTGAAGACGCTGGGAAATAATCAATCGATTAGCATTGTAAGCTATCCGCGTCTGCGGTTGTGGCTGTCGGCGACTGACAGACGACTCGTAAACTTCTTTCCAGCATCCAAGTTCGATCAACTTTCGTGGCAGAATTGCAGACTTTGGAGTGAATCATATGGTCTATTACACTATCATGCAGTCAAAGAAGGTACGTTCCATGGCTTGATGCTGCTGAACTGGTGCTCATCCTCCATATCTCTAGTTATACGCATGGGAAACGAGTCCTGTTGACGATATAGCATTATTCTTACTGTGTGGGGAAATCCTAGACATCAAAGTAGGTCCTTCTGTCGAGCCATCGCTTGCCTTCTTACGAAACTTCTATGTGTAGACTTGGGCGTCATCGGTCATACTTGACAGGAAAATCAAGTTCAATATGCCTCCCATTACTATTCTGGCCTTGCAGCGTTTAAGAACGGAATTCGCCAACTGCCTGTCACAGCGCATGGCTAGTATTCCACTGGATCCCGAGCAAGAAAAGTGGTTTGAATTGGGTTTAAAGTGCATTATGAAGACGGTGGAGGAAGAACAAGAGGATGCGTATAAGCTTCGGATCTCTGGGACAAACAGATAGAGGTATTTGACGACATATAGGCTCTGTATGCATTAGAAACGGCATTCAACATCGTGACCTGTATCTGCATCGCATTGTATGACTTTGTGCTCTATATATGGGTCAACTGCATGCTTCAATTGCATTCAAGCGAGATACTCCTTATGACGGCCTGGGAGTGGCTCAACTTGAAAGTCCAGGATGTGATAGTGGGAAGCCGCGAGCAGGAACGAGAACAAGATTGATGGTTTCCATGGGATCCTGAGCGACGCTTCAGGAGCATGTCAAACCCCCGAGTTGCGGCGGTATTATTCAATCACTATTGATACACACGAGACTTCCAATGAATAGTTTTACAAGAAGAAGGCAGCAGCGACGCTGGAAACAAGAGTGGCACCCAAGACGGCGTACCCGGTAGAGTAGACACCCTTGAGGGACAGAGCTGTATGCAGCGAATGAGAGAGGAAAGGGTTAGAGAAAGGCACGGGGGTTTGGAGGATGGGTGTGGAGTGTACGCACCTTTGCCCATGTCCCATGTCAAGTGTCGGATACCGTTGAACGAGTGGAAGAAGAATGGTAGAGAGATGATGAATTTACCGGAAGTCTTCAACCAGACGGGAAGGTCTGTGAATCAAGGGGACAAAGGTGATGAGCTTTTTCTTCTTCTTCTTCAAAGCAGAATGAGACGGCTGTGATTTACCGTGGATTGCGGAGATGACGTGGGCGGAATCGATAACTGGGAAGACCGGGTGCAGGAGGTAGGCCATGGCGCTGACATAGAGGACTGAACGCAGTAGATAGGTTGGCTTAGTACCTGATCGTAACACACGGGAGTTGTTTTGTATGCAACTACTCACGACCGCTCAAAGCAGAACCGGTAATTCGGTTGAGACCGGACAAGTACCAGGTCAACTGAGAAAGGCAGAGCGTGGAGGGTCAGTGAGCTTCTCCTAGTGTTTTGACAGTTGGCAAGGTCATACTTGAGGCTGGTAGATGGTCAAATGAGGACTGTTGGGCCTTCGGAGTCGCTGTTCATTGAGGAGCACCAAGTTGTCCTTTGTCGTTAGGTGTTCTGTTTGGATGAATCTGCGAGGAAAGATCCAGCATCAGCAAGAGATCGGTTAGGGAGAGGGTCGGATGTGAAGCGTACCGTCGTTGCACCTGGGTAAAGAGAGGAGCAGCCGATGATCGGAACGCAGGAGCTATCATGCGAAGAAGAAGGTTAGTCGAGCTGATCTTCGTGGCCAAGGTCACACCTTCACTTACAAGCACCGGCGACTCGGAAAAGGTTCCTGGAAGTAACAGTGGCCAACATGTTTGATAGAGTCTCGGTATGGAATACCGAAATGGGTCGTATTGTGTCTCGCTGTGAACCACTATAGTTGTTAAAGTCAAGTCGAAACGACAAGGATACCACTCAGCCTTCTTTCCTCGACTTCGATCGTCTGGTCGGCCGTAGTCGGTTTGTTGGGCTACTCTTTACCGTCCGCTAGCACGGGCGCACCTGGTAGACGGAGGCGTCAATTCCGCCAATCAGGTCATTTTTGTTTGCCTTGACGACTGGAGATCTGGGTGGTGGTCGCTTTGCGATTCACTTCATTTGCATGTGCCCACGAAGCGAGTGTCACCTGGACATATCTTCGGTGTGATATAGCTGTGAGGTTTTCTACACGATAAGTTGCGGGGAGGCAGCCGTGCATTGTGGAAGACGGAGCCAACAGGGCAGATGAGGTTCGGATCACTTGGCTAAAGTTATTATTTGTGAAAGATCATAGATGTGCATATTCCTCGCATTTCATTTAAGATCCTATAGTCAAGTGGTTACGACGTGGCATTGTGGCTTTCTGGGTTTACTCAGATGCAATTCTGCCGAGGCGAGTGTTCGATTCACTCTAGGGTCATCCCTTTTTTTGCGGCCCCTTATGACGCGAGTTGCACCAGTTCACTACATGTTCTTCTTACGTAAGATTCAAGCGGGGAAACTTCTGGAAGCGGGGCTACTGCTCTTTTGGTCTCGTTCGTCATCCTTTGTGAACGAGTAGCTCTACCAAAGGATGTTCAAGGCAACCTATATCAGACGGAGCCATCAGGTTCAGCATACCGACACCCTCGATCTGTACAACCACCTCATTCTATCAACTGCACCTCGCCGCATCTTCTATCCAAGCTTTTTCCATCATCGAAACCATCCATCATGGCCAACCCACGAGTCTTTTTCGATATCGCTATCGATAACCAACCCAAGGGCAGAATCTCGTTTGAGCTGTTTGCCGATGTCGTACCCAAGACGGCAGACAACTTTTTGCACCTCTGTCTAGGTGACAAGGGGAAGACTAGCTCGGGTGTGCCATTGTCGTACAAGGGATCTGGTGAGTTTCGGTTTCTGGCTTTTCCTACGATAAAGCAGTTGCTGATTCAACTACTGCTGTGTCGTCAGGCTTCCATCGATGCATCAAAAAGTGAGTATGGTCGCTATTAGATGAGTTTTAACGGCGCTGAGTAGAGTCGTTTGATGTGTCAATCAGGTTCATGCTCCAGGTATGTGCAGTTTTCCGCATGCGTTCGCTTGGCTGGGAAGAGGCTAATCTGGGTGTTCCTTTAGGGTGGTGATTTCACGGCGTAAGTAGTAAAATTCATTCGTTCCTAGTCGCTCGCACTGAGAGGATAGGGGGCGAACAGCGGCAACGGAACTGGTGGTGAAAGTATTTACGGAGAAAAGTTTGAAGGTGAGCTACAAAGACTTTGTGTGACAAGCTACAGAAAGACTGTTAGCTAAAGGAACGTTGCTGCCTCCTTTTAGACGAGAACTTTACCCTCAAACATGACAAGCCATTCTTGTTGTCGATGGCCAACGCAGGTTTGTTATCCATCTTCGTGGCCGGCCTTCTGAGTTAGGACTCATCTTGATGCTCTCTCTCGCAGGTCCTGGAACGAACGGCTCGCAGTTCTTCATCACTACCGTCCCTACCCCTCACTTGGATGGAAAACACGTCGTGTTCGGTCGAGTGGTCGGCGGCAAGAGTCTCGTCCGGTTCATCGAGAATGTGCCGACGGACGAATCGGACAAGCCGCTGCAACCCGTCATCATTGCCGATTGTGGTCAGTTGGCGCAAGGTGAGGAGATTCAGCGGGATAACAAGGTGGAAGGGGATGTGTATGAGGATTATCCAGAGGATCAGGAGGGGCTAGATGAGGGTGATTTAGCGCAGTATATTGCGATTGCGGACAAGCTGAAGGATATTGGGTCGCGGTGAGTGGTTTACGCTGGGGGGCTACCTGTGATCGGTGCTGATGAGTCTTTCGTGAGCAGCGAGTTCAAGGCGGGGCATATAGAGAGCGCGTATGAGATGTTCTCCAAGGGTTTGCGGTACTTGGATGAGCATCCTGTGGTTCCGGAAGATCAGCCGGCAGAGCTGAAGAACACATTCGAGTCCTTGTGGGTTTCACTTTCTCGTACTTATGGGTACTAGTTTCTGATCACATTCTCCTGCATTCTTCTTTCACAGCCGATACTCGCTACTCAGCAACAAGGCTTTGACAGCGCTCAAACTCGGCACGAAAACGCACGCCAAGCAGGTCATTTCCTGCTGCAACCGTATTCTCAAGGGTGCCGATGAGGATCTGTTCGACTTGAAGCCGGCGGACAAGACCAAGGCCTTGTACAGGCGAGGAGTCGCTCGAGCGAATTTGGGTGAGGCGAGTGCGGCCGAGGATGATTTCAAAAGGGCGTTGGAGTTGTCGCCGAATGATGCTGCTGTCAAGACTGAATTGTCCCGTTTGGCGAAAAAGAAGGAGGCGGAGATCGCGAGGCAGCGAGCTGCTTACAGCAAGATGTTTGGATAGATAGATGAGCATTATAGATCAGTTGTACAACGGGCGAGTAGGGAGGATGAACGTTTACACGTTTACAAGACTTGCATAGCAGACGGCGGTAAATGGCCCATGTCCGTGCCGCTGAGCGGAAGATGTCGTAAAAAAGTTGGCTGAGATGCGATCGACGACCTGAGAGAGACATGCAGGAGGAGGAACTTGTACAATCGCACTTCTTCTTGTTTATTCGCCACGTCTGTGCCGGTAGTGAAGAGGTAGCTCCGAGTCCAAGCAGTCTCTCTCTCAAAAGCCCTTATACAGTCATGTTGTCCACCAGGGTCCTTCCAGCTGCCAGGAATGCCGTCAAGACGGCTGAAGTGCTTCGAGGTGAGTTGTCAAAAGGCGATCCTCTGCCACGGGTTTCTTGTGCTAATTACCTCTTTATGGCTACAGCTGCGTCTCCTGCTCTTCGTGCTTCTGCTCAATTAAATGCTCCGGCACAGTCTCGATCCCTGTACACCGCTCGACGACCTTCGCCTGCGGCTGCAGCTGCGTTGACTGCTTCCTGTAAGTGTCGAGATCACAGATCCTAGTGAAGCCGACTGATTGTGTTAACGCTGTGAATGGGTTTCATTGTTAGTCGGAAACGCTTCTCGATCTTACGCCGCTGAAGCTGGTGGCAAGTTCTCCCGAAAGAAGCCTCATTTCAAGTAAGTCGATTCGCAGTGCTTCTTCTTGTTCCGATTGACGCTGATAACTATCACATTGTAGCATCGGAACGATTGGTGTATGTGTATCGTGTTCATGCATCAAGGTGCTATACTGAACTCGATACTCTTGTCATGTGCAGCACGTCGATCATGGAAAGACCACCCTTACCGCTGCCATCACCAAGCACCTCTCGGAGCAAGGTGGAGGAAAGTTTATGGACTACTCGCAGATCGACAAGGCTCCCGAGGAGAAGGCCCGAGGTATCACCATCTCGACCGCTGTATGTCCTTTATATGCCTCTCTTTCGCTGTCGCAGGCCGCTGATCACTGTATCTTCAGCACGTCGAGTACGAGACTCCTGCTCGTCATTATGCCCACATCGATTGTAAGCAACAGTGTCCGTCAAGGTGGAATATCAGATGATTGACGTGCTTCATTTCTCAGGTCCCGGTCACGCTGATTGTAAGCAGGAGGAATAAGAGGCTGTATAGGACGAGCTTACTGACATGTAGTTTTCGTTCGGTCGGGGTGAACAGACATCAAGGTAAGCCACTGAACCGAGAATGATCGTACATAGGTCCATACTAACATCTGTCCATTACAGAACATGATTACTGGTGCTGCCCAGCTTGACGGTGCCATCATCGTCGTTTCCGCCACCGACGGTCAAATGCCCCAAACTCGAGAACATTTGTTGCTCGCCAAGCAAGTCGGTATCAAGAAGCTCTTGGTCTTTATCAACAAGGTTGATCAAGTCGATGACCCAGAAATGTTGGAGCTCGTTGAGATGGAAATGCGAGATCTGTTGTCGCAATACGGATACGACGGAGAACAGACCCCTATTATCATGGGTACCGCCCTTGCCGCATTGGAAGGCCGAGACCCCGAGCGAGGATCCAAGAAGATCCAGGAATTGATGGATGCCGCCGATACCTGGTTGGACGTTCCCGCACGAGACTTGGACAAGCCGTTCTTGATGTACGTCGAGGATGTGTTCTCGATCTCTGGTCGAGGAACCGTTGTTACCGGCAAGGTTGAACGAGGTACCATTACCAAGGGTGCTGATGTCGAGATCCTCGGTCTCGGTGCCAAGATCAAGACCACATTGACTGGTATCGGTAAGCCAAGGTCATGACGTGCGTACTTGAGGGCAACATTGACGAACGATACTTTCATCCGATAGAAATGTTCCACAAGGAATTGGATCGAGGAGAAGCTGGTGACAACATGGGTGCCTTGCTTCGAGGTATCAAGCGAGAACAGGTCCGACGAGGTCAGGTTTTGGTCGCTCCGGGTTCGATCAAGTCTGTCAAGAAGTTCAAGGCGCAAATCTACGTATGTTTGGCACGTGACTCGCTTTATCATGAGCCAAATGACTGATGTTCATTTTGGGCCCTGGCGATAGGTCTTGACCAAGGACGAAGGTGGTCGATACACTCCTTTCATGTCAAACTACCGACCCCAGCTGTTCATCCGAACAACCGATGTGACTGTTGCCCTGACCTTCCCTCCGGGAACCGAGGGCGCTGATGGTGAGTGACGTCTGCATTGGAAGTCTTTTGAAAAACGGTTGACTAATGCAACGAGAGGATATAGAAAAACTGGTCATGCCAGGAGACAACGTCGAGATGGTTGGTGAATTGGTTCACGATATCGCTTTGGAAGCCGGATCTCGATTCACCTTGCGAGAAGGTGGCAAGACCATCGGAACTGGTCTCATTTCCGAAGTTTACGAAAAGTAAACATTATCAGTCGCCTATAATAGGGTTTCTTGGATTGGGTGCGAGGTATCTCGACCATGATTGGCAGCCCTACCGACTGCAAAAATTGGCAACAGGGTCTCGTTCTAGGACACTTGCATGCTTTCCTCCTGTTGGTTGTAATAAATAGAATTCAACCGGGATCTTCGGAGCGAGAACCGGGATTGACATGTATGCCCCCAATTGACCTAATCCGTAATGACTTTATACGAGGAACACACCACTCTCTTGATTTTGTACATGCATGGAAGTGCATCACTGGATGCATCGTATTATACAACTCTGAATGCATTTACAACTAAGAATCTCGATACCCTGTCGCTCGGGATCGGGTACCATATCGTCCATCTATCATCCGTTCCCACATGCTCGCTTTCGAGGTCGTTGAGTTCGGCCATGTATGCCAATCACATGTTGAGGAAGTCTAGGTCATCGAAGCCCATACCAAGCCCTCCGAGACCCGGAGCAGCGGCACTCGTCTTGGAAACCTTCGCCGTGCTGGTCTTCTTCTTTTGCTTTTCCACCTTTTGCCGGGAAACGACTTCCTTGAGACTGGCTAGCTTTTTGCGATGATGCGGTGCTTGTAGACGCCGATGAAGAATGGAAGGAGTCACTGCTTG